TTTTTACTACAGGGTTATATCGATTTTATCATCTGACACTTTACATCTTTTGTATCGGAAAGATTCTCATTTTGACAAAAGTAAAGCGGTGGCTCAAATCATTTCAATATACACTAAACATTTCAAACTTTTATCAATACTAATTGATTTAGGCTACAGTAATAATTTCTCTCGATCGCTCCCAGAAATAGATAACGCACTGTTTGGTTGTCGTTGATCGACATTGATTCAGGGTTACTGCCATGCTTGGTTCTTACTCTTATTTATATGTTTATAGTTTCCTAATTAACGACTTTCAGAGTCTTCCTATCCTATATTCTCAGTTGTAGAAAACATGTTATTTTCTTGGTCATTCAACATGTAAAATTGAGCCAATGAAGCAAAATATGAATAGGTTCTAGGAAAAAGTGTTGATTTTTATTTATACTCCCAAGACTCAATGTTGCGTTTAACACATAAAACGCAGGATAATTCATATTGCTTCGTCTAAATATGTGTGTTGTAAATGTTATAGAATCAGATGCTCTGGGAATATAACAACACAATTCGAAACATGCTCTGAATACGCTCCGTTTAAGTAATACATTTGTGACCGATTAGGAAGTGTACCGTAAAATTCTTGTTTGGCCGTAAAGACTTTCCTTCCACTACCTCTTCTCTCTCTGTTGGTTTTTGACCTTCATTCGCGGTTATGATACCTGACAGGAACTTATGGATCAGTCAAACATTGATTGGTTCAAACAAAAACCTTACTTCCAGAAGGCAATTTCCATTGGAATATATCCCTCAATCTTTTAGGCAAATCTACGCCATCTTCATCTGTGCTAGGGAGTGCGTGAGGAGCATGATCTATATAATGTCAGATAGCCAAGCAGCTTATTTTCGTATGAAGATAGACCAGGTGTTGTAATGGACTGGGTAGATGCAATAAATGAACATTATGCTGGATACCTGCCCATGAAGGTCACTCTAGCAACGAACAGGCGGTCTGTCTAGCAAACCATTCCGAGCGATTCCTTGTTATCCCAAAATGATACGCTAGAGAAAGATGCGAAAGTTGGGTCGATTTGGAATTTGCTCGCCACTGCGAAGCTACAACAGGGCTTAAACAGACAAAGCGAAGAATTACTCTATCATGGAGTAAATCCTAAAAGCTGTTATCGCTCAACAAAAGTGATCTTAGAATACTAACGAGATTACTCACGGGACACTGTGGTCTTAGATATCAGCAATTCATCCTAGGAAAGAAAGAAACCTTTTTTCTAACACCAAGTAAGGTTAGGTTGAAAAAGATAACGCATCATACCTCAATGGCCGCTATTAAGGCTGTTGTGTGCTTATTTGGATGCATTTTTTGACTTTTGAGATAATCGCCTTCAAGAAGCAATTATCGTTCTATGATTTAAAAACTCTGTCTACTCGACGTAATTCCATAAAATTATACAATCAATGTTCCGAAACGATGTTATTGCTTCAACTAAGGAAACTCCTCTCGCCTGAGTGACTCCATAAGATATTTCCATTATTCCATTTGGTAGAGTGGGATTCTATTTCTCGGTCGGTTATAGATTTATTACAGTCTTAGACTTAACTTTATCGGCAGTTATTGCCTTTGACCATCGGAAAATATTTAGCTCATTTTACGCAGACTTTCGCCTAGAAACTAGATTGGAAGTCGAAAAGAAATATATCTCGACTTTCAGGCTTCCAAAGTAGATATAGATATACATAACGATGTTAGCTCTAATGCTTCACGATCCTTGATTTGGGATCAATATTTGACAACTTCGGAAAATGTTGGATCGAGTATGTCTGATGTAAGTATGTGTATAACGTCAATTATGTCACGTATTTACAATGTTCAAAAATACTCCATCTCCAGAAGCCCATAATAATACTGTAATCAATTCATCAAGGAATCAATTTGAAATATGAAAGTTTTGATATATGCAGGATAGTCAATGTTAAAATGAACATATGAAAGTCCCGGAATTTAATTTTAGGATTCTTCAAGACGAATATTTATACCACCAAGACGTAGGATTGAGATAAATTTTATATTAAAACTGAAAATATATTGGGAAGTCTGAGTTATTCAGTAGCCTCACATTCACCTCTTGTCGGTATTTCAGTTTAGTAGTTTTCACTTACCTTTCAGTAGTTACATTTAGAAGTTTCTCTAAAAATTATTCCAAAAAATCAATATAAAATATGAAATCAAGAACATACAATGGAAATTTATTCTTATAAAAGCAAATTAAAATTCTTTAAAAACCTTTAAACAAGTTTTTGGAAAATCTCATTTATTATTCCAACAATCCTTTTTTTTTTTCAATTAAGTTAAAATTAAAAATTTATAATTCATATTTATACATATTTAATTAATTTTAAAATTCATAATATCAATATTCCTATTACTTTTACTAGACCATAAAATGCACTGTTTGTTCTGTGTCTGTGTGTTTCTACTTAATTTATTAATAATCAATTAATAATCATATGTATTTAATTCATTTTAAAAATCTTAATATTAACATTTCTTTCCCTTTTGCTAGACCACAAAATGCACTTTATTTCTATCAGTAATTATAGTATTTTTACTTAATTTATTCATCAAATTCATTTGTCACTTCTAAATAACTTGTCTAACAACCTCTAATATTATGTGTAGGCCGCTAAAACAACTCTTTTTTTAACCAAATTATGTGAAAATAGTTTTATAATAGAACGTCTTAAAAAAAAAAACTTAATCCTCTTAGTTTAAAAAAAGTTAAGTTATGTTGTTGGTAGTATGTGTAGGTAGATTATTAGTTATCACAGGTTTTAGAACGTGGGATTTGATTTGTTTACAATTTTCACTTTGTTTTGTTATGATTTTCCCTATCTCTGTTTGGTTCTTTCTCTCTCTATGTTTTTTTTTCATTTTATGGAATTTCTATTATATTGTTTGTATAAGAGAGCAGTAGTATAGATTGCGACAAGGCCGTCCATTCAAAGTAATCATGTTTGTAGATTCAAATGTAATAAGAAAAATATGTAAGTGGTTGTTTTAAGGGTTGCCAAGTTCACGCGAAATGGAAAAAAAAATTACATCTATTTCTATTGAAAATTTACAAAATTCAACTTTACGAACAAGCTTTGTTGTAAATATAAAACTTTCGAAATACAAGATGTTCCAGTTTGCGTCCCTCTGATCCAGTCCCTATAAGTTTTCTTTTTATTCAGATCGGATTATACAATTGAAATTCTTATCAATGATTTCACTGTTCACCTTCACACTGTTGGGCACTACTTTTAGACAGCATCTAAACTATGTTAGGTATAGGTAATTCGCGTTTTAGTGAGAGCACTTGGACATAATTTGGACAATTATGATACTTTGATCCTAGAGAGAACCCTTCAATACCATTAGTAGTATAAATACAAGGCTTCTAGCTTTTTTAATGACAGACATTGCAACCATAATGTTCGAAGGTTTGATCGCAGTTTGGTTTGATGTAACACCTAACTTGGCTTCATAATTTCACGGAATTATATACTTTATGGTTCATCAGTTTTTTAACTAACATTCTCTTCCAGCGAATTCCAGGAGGTCCTCTCCAATAAACGGGATACGAAAAGCCCGAAACTCTGCTCTGTTGGCTATCGGTTCCCGAGGTACCAGAGTATGTGGTTATAGTCACGACAGACTAGAGATACTAATAGCACCTCTTTTTCACGTGATTGCAATAAAACCAAGATGGGGGAAGTTCATCAAGGTTACATGCCACGGGGCGTCTAAGTTGGGACATGTAGTAAATACAATTTAGAATACATTTCGACCTTACCATGATGCCTTCAGAGATGCGGTAATATTCGACGTCTCAAGATTTTGTTCTCAGAGGTTTCTCGCGGCCGTATCGATCGATGATATTCAGATTCGGAAAGACCGTTGCCTTAGATTCGATCAATTTTTTGTAGGATGGTGCATGAACGATGCGATCATAAATCAGTGCAACTGACTCTCTATGTAAAGAGCCCCTTTACAAGATATTCATTTAATTTATGTGTCAAGAATAGGTATGTCTAGCATCACTACCAGACTGGCCTGAGGTTATTCCGCTTCGCATTCCGATTTTTTTACTAGAATAGAGATCACCCTACTTATTCCGTCTCTCAGCATTACGTTACCACGAGAGTATCGAGTCGAAGTTTACATCTAAGTTTAAGAGACGATTTACAAGATACACATTTAATAAGGGTATCAAGGGCTGGTACATACATATGTCTAGAATTACATTGAGGTCTTATGACCTCAATAATGTAAATCGCCATACTTATTCGACTCTCAGCATTACGTTTCCACTAGAGCATGGAGTCAAATATTATACTCTGAATATTCAAAAACTTTACTATCCAGTAAAGGTGGTTAAAATTCTGAGATTTTATATCTTCAGGTAAAAGATACAAATTCAGTCTTTGTCGAGTTGAACCCTATACCGTCTTTTCCGAGTCCAAACTGAAAGTAATGGTTCTGCTCTTTAGCGTTTTCCCCGTCCAGTGTGTTATTTTGTGGTTTACATTTAAGTTCCTTAGAGACTTGACTACAGAAGAGAGAAAGATGCCATTTCATACTCTTTCCTGTCAAGTGTTTCCTTGGAAGTTTTTACAACGTCATGCAGGATAGTTTCAACTTAAACGTCTAATAAGGTACGCGTTTGAGCCTTGCAGAAGTTAGTTGGATTTCAACCTATAAAATGTGAGAAATTTGTTCGAAATTCCTGTTATCACCAATCGGAACAGGGTATTCCAAATTTTAAATTTTAATATTCTTTTCAAAATCGGATGAAAAGTTAACTATATCAAACCAATTTATTATTGTAATGTTTGGTAACCCTTAAAAAGTCTTGTAAAATTTCCAAAGGGCTTATTACATGACTCTCAATTATAACAAACAGAGAGAGTGGGAGAAAGAGAGAGGGAGAAAATATGAGAACATAAACAAAAACAAACATATTACCATGAATGAACTAGTAGGGTGATTGTAACATTGACTGACGGACTGGCTGACAGTTTGTTCAACTCACTGGCAGACAGACGTTCAATGTTCATGGTTTCAATAGATTTAATGAGCATTTGTTAAACGAATAAACATACAGATGAGAGCAGTTACTCACTCATACGTAAAGTGTATTTATTGTATGTGTGCGTTGTGTATTTGTATCTGAAAGAATCATAATTTTTTTTCAAAAATACTTTATACGCATTTCATTTATTCGCCTGAAACGTTGTTGTCATCCATCTAGCCAACGTCCGTACCGTACGTAGTAAAAATTCGTAATAGAAATAGAAGTGCTTACTAGTAATACGTAGTTGGAGTACGTTCTTTACAATGATTTTTATTGCGCAGGTTGTTGTTGTTGCGTTTCCCTAGAAATCCAACAATATACAATACACAAGATTTTTGTTAAAATTTTGTTTCTTCCTACTGTTTTTGTCATTATTTTATATTTTGTGTGAAAAGAAGTTACAAAAGTTCTTGAACATATAGAGAAAAAACTGTAAAAAAAATCAATGATTAAATGTGAAAATTAAATTAAAAAAAGTGTTTGAATTAATTTAAATAAATACATATACAAAAGAAATACGATTACAAGTAATTGGAATAAATTTGCATTTATTAAAAATGAAAATATTTTAAACTATAGTAAAAAAAGAAACTGAAAACATTTTCTTTTCAAACGGATGCCAGCAATATCCACAAACCTGTATTGTTCCTGATACTTTACATCAAACGTCAAAGAACCCAATAAAGAAAAATGGATAAAATAAAAACAACTCACAAGTTGGAAGCACTAAGTAACCCTCAGGTAAGTGAAATGAATGACCTGTTAGGTTTTTAACGGTCGGTTAAAAAGTAAAAACAATAACAAAAACAACTAAACTATTGTGCAAACTATCAAGTACTAGATACCAAGATTTGGAGGTGAAAAAACTATCTTATTATAAGTATAAGTAGCAACTCTATAGGTAATTTTCCAAACAAAAGAAAAGTCTCTTAAAAAAGTGTGTTAAATGAAAAACAAACATTTTAACTAAAAAAACACATTAACTACTTTCTACTTTTTTTATATTTTAACTTACTACCTATGAATACACATTTTACGACCTATGTACCTATTAATTTTTTATATACATATGTATATTTGTTTAAATTTAACGAACTCGCTCTAAAATCTTATTCTGTAATCTTATTTACATTGGCAGTGAATTATACATTTTTGTTTCCCTCATTCCAAATTACAAGGTTAAAGTGTAAATAAACTTTTTCGTATCAAAAAAGTCTTTAGCACATTTTTTTTAATATTTTGTTCAAATTCCCCCATTCTCATGAGGTTCATACATTTGATGATGTCATGTGTATGTATGTTTTCTTTTATATTGTAAAAATTATTAACATTTTTTGTTATATCTCTCTCTTTGTCTTGTTGTAAAATAATTTTTTTTACAAAAAATTATTAGTTTTGTTTAAACAAAATAAACCATATCGTAAAAAATATGTTACAGATATTTATGTTTGTTCTTCAGTTGTCTTTTATAAATCAAATAAAATCAACCTTGACATATAATTTGTTTTTTATATTGATAAACAAATACCAAACCACCGACAATATTTATCTAAACAAATTATCAAAAAGTAATTTTATTTAAAAAGTATATAATTAAAAAATATGACATACATATTTGAGGTGTATTTCAAATAAATATGTTTACCTTTTTTAAGTCAAATTTAGTTTAAAATCATGCAATAACACAGAACAAAAATTTTTCTCCCTGAGACCAGAGTAAACACTTCTAATGATTTCGCTGAAGCCGTATCTGTGGCAACCATAATCTAAAAGCAACATATTATGATAAAATTTATGGTTTTAGCCAAAACATTTTAATATAATTATTATCATATTATTATAAAATATAATCATAATATTTCATCTTATTATATTCCGATTAATCATAATTTGGATAATTTAAACCATAATATGATTATTTGAACAAAATATCATAATAGTTTTGTCATACATGATCATAATATTTTCTAAAGTAATCATATTATGATCCAAAGTAATGATATTGTAGTTTAAAGCCATCATATTACTTTTTTGGTTATAGTTAAAAATAATCATATTATGGTTCATAGTAATCATATTTTGATTCAAAGTAATCATATTGGGTAATACTTAAAGTAGGAACAATATTTAACAGAGGTTAAAGCTTTATTTTGAAGCTAATCGGACGATTGTTTGTTTTGTATTGAAAATGGGCTATATCAGTCGATGTTTTCACCTAGCCCCCATACAAGTGCCCCCTCGGAATACAGTGTTACCTGACAATAACTGTTATAAAAGACCGAATATAGAGACTAAATTCGACATAAATTAGTTTCGTATGACCAAAAATCTCCCTACCAAATTTTATAAGGATCAGCTCATAATTGACCGTACCCCCATATAAGGTCCCCTTCCGACAATGACTTTAACACTAAAAAAGTTTCATATGACCCAAAGTTTATCTACTAATTGTATGAGGATTGGCCCATAATTGACCCCGCCTCCCATATAAGGTTCCCTTCAGAAAATGACTTTAACGCTCAATACAAATGGATTAAATATTTAATTATACTTATGAAATTTGACACAAATAAGTTCCTTACGAGCCAAAACCTTTTTACCAAATATAAAGAGGATCGGTCAAAAATTGCCCCTTCCCCCCATATTCAATATTCCTATTAATAATCATTCGCCAATCGAAAATATTTCATATCTATGTAAATCTAAAACTGTCCAATAAAAATTGAAGTTTTTAAAATGTAAAGGTTTCAATGTTTACTGTATGTCGAGGATCTAAGGTGGTAAAGCGGCTAAGATCAAGAGAATCGCAAAGGTGGCTGATACCTTAGTAAGATATATTGAAAACTATTTATATTCCTTTTAAAATAACACAGGCCATCAAAATCAAAATTTTTAAAATTTAATATCTCATAAACTTGATGTGATGGAAAAATTCTAATACCAGATTCGGTGTAGCTCGATCCTTTAGAAGTATATACGTTGGGTTAAAAATTGGTTGGTCTGTGTAATTAATAAAATATAATTTAAAATTCTTATAAACTCTTGTGGATAACCTAATTTGTATTTTATTTTCATTACAATAAATACATATTAGTTTAACAATCGTTTATCTCTAAATTAAATAGTTCACGCAATTGAAATTTTTATTGTCGCACACACAACGATTACCGGGGAAACGGTTAATGAAGTTTGATTACAATTGGTACCAAAACCACTGTCGAGCAAATAACTGCCATTTGACTGGCTACATTCCACAACTTTGAAGTACATTGGAAGCACTTCAAATATGTTATTTGTGGTGAAAATTCTACATCTTTTCCTCACATCTTTCACTACTTCACACTTTATTAATGTTGACAATAGATCGAAAAGCAAGTTTTTTTATTCGTTCTTTCCGACTGCCGCTTGTCGACAAAGGTCCTAATTGTAATTTACCAGTAACTCGTTTCCTTAAGATAACTTTTTATTCAATGGAAAACGTATCAAATGCATATAATATCTAATATTTACTATAATCAATCGAGTGTAAAATTAAATATGAAAAAATAAAGTGCATCTTGTATATATTGAAAATTGTATGGTTACGGAAAAATCCACCAAACAAACTCTGCCAAGGCAACCACCTTAAAAATAACGAATATAAAGAAACAATAATATGAAAAACAAACAAATAAACAATTTAAGTAATTTCCGGCATTAAAATAGAAAGAAAAACCCCCAAAAAGAAATAATAGTTACAACAAATATTTCGAAAGACGATTATCAAAATTACAGACAGAATTTAGAACGATAGTACAAGCACAATAGTTTAGTGTTGTTGTTCTTAGTAAAGTTTTTTTTCAAGTACAAAATAAATAAAAAAGAAAAATTCTATAATTTTAGCTAACATACAAAATGAACAATATGCTGGACATGGCCAATGCTTTGGAGTGTGAAGAGCAGCAGCAGCAGCAGGAGAAAAAGCACAACTTTTTGTGGAACAATTTGCCCAATGAATTGTTGATACATATCTTTAAATATTTGCCTCATAGTGATTTACAGCAGATACGCTTAGTTTGCAAACGTTGGCATGATTTGACCCAACTGCCCGAATTTATGGGAAAATCCAAATTAATCATTAATCGTGACAACATGGCCACTCTGCACGATTGCTTGGCCAATGATGAGGAGTTGGCTAGGAGACTGTCGTATGATACTTTGGAATTACATGGTCTGGAATTAAGTGATGATTTGCAATTGATTTTGAAAGCACTGGGAACAAACATACACAAACTGCGCCTGTACAAATCACCGGTATTCGCCATTTTGAATGAGTGTCTGCCGGATTTGGAGGAATTGATTGTCACCCATATACCCACCGTACAAAGTGATAACACATTTTCGGTTAATTTAAGTAAATTTCGAAATTTCAAATCATTAGATATAAGCTGCAGTAATGTGACCACTTACATCAAGACCCACATGATATTAAATTTGACCAGAGAGTTATCGCTGGTAATGGAAAAACTTTGTATAGAATTGAATCGGGAACATGAAGAACTGCTGATATATACTTTACAATTTCATAGCAATTCTTTGAGGCATTTGGAGATTATATTAAGATCAAATCCTGTAATGATTTCAAAATGGAAACAGGTGTTTGTATTGTTTAAAAACTTGGAAACTTTAAAAATTACGGGAGTTTCCTGCTATCAATGGTTAAAAGAGATTATGGAGTGTTTGCCCAAGGAAGCTCCTCTACAACATTGTGACTTAAGCGGTGGTCTGCAAGTGGATGATGCTTTATTAAAACTCATAATTCACAAATGGCCCGAGACTTTGGAAAATATGGAATTGATGTTTTGTAATTTATTAACAGATGAGGGTGTCAAACATTTTGGTTTACTACGCCATACACTGCGCTCTTTAAACATATCCCACTGCTCTAAAGTAACGGCTAAAGGTTTGCTGCAGGGTTTGGCGTCACAAACTAATAACACTCTTAAAACCCTGGTACTCAATGATATGGCCGATATGGATGTAGAGTCGGTGAGACTATTGGCTCAACGTTTACCTAATCTGAACTATTTAAGTTTGGAAAATTGTCGTGAATCTGTTACAGACTCTACATTAGAATGCATCTTTCGTTATCAACTAAAACTGCAGCATTTAATATTAGACGACTGTATACGCATTACCGATGAAGGTCTTTTGGGTTTCGGAGTTCAAGCCGCCCCCATTAGCAACCTTAGGGGTTTACAATCTCTCAGCTTAAGGGGCTGTCGTAATCTCTCCAATCGTGCTCTTATAAAAGGTTTAAAATTTACCGAATTACGTAAATTAGTTTTAGGCTATTGTCACAAAATTTCTTCCATGGGCATAGAGGAATTGGTGGAAAATTGTCCTGCCCTTGAAGACTTAACCATATCTAGCTGCCTAATGATAGATGACGATGCCATGCTGCATATTGCCCAAGGACTGCCACGTCTCAGACGCCTTAATGTTAGCAATTGTATTAATTTAACTGGCAAATCTATAGATTACGTAGTCGAACTATGTAAGTCTTTGAAAGAACTTTCCATGTGCGGCATTGATTCGTTGGAAATCCAGGAGGTACAAGAAAAGTTCCTACAACTGAAACCTCAAATTTTGGAATTGAATTTATAGTTACAAGTTCATTATAACATACGTATACAATATAGAGGCATAAATCCCCAACCGAAACCGAGAGACTTTTTCTAAAATTTGTATGTTTGTTTAGGCCTCTAACTACAGTCTCTCGTTTTATTATTGTTTTAGATATTTTGACAGAACTGTGTTTTATTTTTTAAAAAATATTCTTATTCGTAGTAATATTTGTAAATTGTTTTATTAGATCTAATTTAATGATCAATCATGAATTGTTTTATTTTATAAGGTGTAAATAATAAATTTAAGTTGATTTTGTTTAAAGTTTATCTTGGATTTCGAAATTGATATATCTAGAAGTAAAAATACTACAGATTATATATAGATAATTATAGATCCCTTTCAAAATACTATAACTTAATTAGATCACTGTTACAATTCCTTTAAGGTATTAATGAGAATTTTCTAGGTTATGAAATCTATTCACTGGTCAGTTTCACTTCCAAGATCTTCTTTATTAATATATTTATTAATTATTCAAAATTATTTGTGCAATATTATTATATTTAATCAAATAAATAATAGTTAAATGTGTACCAAAATAAAAAATAACATTTATAAAAGACAATATTTAATCCGTACCAATAACACCGTATTTAACAATAATCCTACTTTTATATACTTATATATTTAATGAAATCTATATATAAATATATATTTTTATTCATAATCAAAATTACTTAACATTTTTTTTAAGAATAATTATTTAAATCAATCAATACGTATATGTAATCTTTAAGATATTTTATGTACAATTTATAAATCCAATAAAAAAAACAAATATATATTAAAAGTATAATAAACGTAGTTATATGGACTGTTATACGAATCATTAATTTTTTCGATAACTTCTTCGGTTGTTAATATGTAAATGTGTCAAACGATTTCAGATCTCACAAATGATATTTATATTTCTTGTTTATGTTTAAAACAAGTAAGAAAGTATAGTCGGGCGTGACCGACCATATGATACCCTACACCAGTTATGAATATTAAATATGATTTATTTTTCATATTAATTCATTGTTCCGATACATTTAAGCAATTATGGATGAAAAACTAATTTTCTGAAAGAGGCTTTATGTGGGGGCTAGGGGCAAATATGCACCAAGCCCGATAAAGTTTTGTAAATATATTTATATAATATTTATTTGTGCTGAATTTCATCGCGATATTTATGTTTATAAGTTAATTTTGGACATTCAAGCAATTTTCGGAAGGGGACTTTGTATGGGAGCTAGGGTCAAATGAGGCCCGATCTTTATGAAATTTGGTAAGGTCATCAAGGCTTGTATAAAACTTAGTTGTGCCGCTTTTTATCATTATACAGGTATATTAAACATAATTATGATTACATGGGACCATGTTGCGGATCATGTAATCTCATAATTAAGGCGAGGAGTAGTTTTGGGATTACTCCCATGTAATGCATGGTTGGATTACGTGTTCCTCTCCTAGGACATCAAAATGTTAAAAGGTGTATGTTTTTTCCATATATTTGGATTAGTTTTGGACCAGTCCTAATCCTTTGAAGAGTACTCTCTGCGGAGTAGTTTCAATTTTTGCATATATTTAAACAAAAATGTAATACTAGCGTGCTTTGTTGAACGAAAAGCAATATAAATAAAAGAACTCACTTAATGATTTTGAAGATTCTAACTATAATAGTTTTCCAGATAGACAATTTTCCACATATGGAAGATTCCACGCAAATTATTGCAAGTTCGCCAGTTATTCCGTACGTTAATTAAGATTTTAGTGCAATTTATAAAAAATTTGAATAATCTAATAGTTTTCCAGATATTCGAAATTTTGTATTTAATTCCTATGAGAGATGCCGTGACCCCCACTGAAAGTCCGACCGTTATTCTTTAACTTTAAGATTCTAGCTCTAATAGTTTCTCAGATATACAAATTTTTCTATTTAATTCATATGGGTGCTCCAAGCCCCCCAGATGAAGGTCCGCCCTTTTTTCTCCAAAATGTTCAGATATCAATGACAGATTTATGAGTATTGGAATGTTTTTCGTACTGGTTATTGGATTTATTATGTAGAGTTATATATAGGTAATTAGGGTTCATTATTGTTTCCTCTATTTTCAACCTCGTGCCCATATTTGATGCTAGTCCAACAAACATTTGGAACGAATAAATTTTGTAAACCATAAATTTCACATGTCAACAAATTTTTAACCCAGAGACGAAGCTATACTTTTCTAAACGATTAAGCTTCGCTGAATCTGAAATTGTCCTCAGAATTTCTGTATCACATTAAGATATCGTGTTCTAAATATCAAAAAACCTCCGTTTTTGGCCATTTTTGGAAATCATCTGAGAATTCAATGTGTCTTAGTACTGTTATCAAATTTAATAAATGAAGGTGACTTCGCGCTGTTTTAATGTCTCAAATATTTCCAAAAGGGGGCATTTTTCAATGTTTATCTGGAAAATATGATTATGGAGACTTGAGGTCAGATTCGGATTTGCAACTGCTTGCTCTCTGGGATTCATTTTTTATAAATTTTGTCTGGTTATATGGCAGCTTCTATTGTATAAATTATTTACAATATAAAATGCGTTATTTTCCCTTTTAATGGAACCAGTTTAAGATGATTTATCCGCAATATTATTACCAGGTAAATTAGATAGACAAGGATCCCAGAGTAGGTGTATGTTGCATTTTTGATTCCGGATAAAGAGCCTTCGGCCGGGAGCAGGGGTCTTAAACTCTTTAAATACTATCTTCGCTAAATCAAGCCTTTTTTGATAAATGGACTCTTTGAAATCCATGGACTTTATGTCACATTGCTTATGGACATTGTGACACTTTTGAAATTGTCATAACATCCATGACACGCTAACCCCAGAGTAGCTCTAGTTTAAAATAATTATTCATCTTCTTAAGAGACATTCAAAATTCGCTTCCAAACCCAGATATTTGCCTTAAGTATATACAATAGATCCTCAGTCAGTACATAGCTCAATGATTGCTGAAATCTCATACTGAATAATGAATAGAACGAAATCTCATCCTGATCATGTGTCGTGAAGCTGGGGCTAAAAACCCGCTACTCAATACCTTCGTAGGAAACGGATGTCCCATTTATTGTCTTTAGAATAAATATCTTGTGAGTTGAAAATCTTAATTTTTTTGTTCATACGGGCAGAAACGATGTATTTTGCAGAACTTATGTAATCATTCTCATTCTATGTAATATATTCTCAAATCATCTCTACCAACAAGACGTTAATATTAAGTTTCCATAAGAGCGACAAACGAATCCAGTAAAAAAAGAACTTCCGAAGAAGCGAAAAAGAAGTAGAACTTACTCCATGGAAGTACTGAAAAAGACCTGAAGAAGTTATGATTTTAACACAGGCTTGTCATTGAGGGATGTCCTTTTTATTTCATTCCAAATTCACTACTTCTGAAGTCTGTTGGCAAGTTATTCGGAAGTGAAATTGTAGTATTATAGAGTACAACTAATTTGACTTAAATAATATTAACATTAATTTTGGTAATAGACACATTTAATACAAAAGCCCATATATAACATTTTTTATCCCATAAAATGTAAAAACAAAAAATATATCTTCAACATTGAAAAAATAGAATTATTTTGGCTTCTTCGGAAGTCTTTAAACATCCCTTCCTCAGAAGGTATAAAGATTCCATTTGTGCTACTTTAGAAGTTGTGATAAATGTTATTCTTTTGGAAGTACTTCGTTTTATTTTTGCTGGGTAATTTGATTAGAATAAACAAACTTTGAAATTTTTTACAAATATACTAATAATGCAACTGATCAAAATGTTGCTCATAGACTGTTTGTTTTTTTAAATTGGTCTAATCGGTCAACCACAAAAACCAATCTAAGGCATTAATTATTGATAGATGGGAACCTTATTAGATAGATTAGGGTATAGACAAATCGACTTATCTAGTAATAATTTGATTCTTATATGCTATAACTAAAATTAAATATAAAGCTTTTAGTTTTTTACTATAATACAAACTATAAAGTATAATGACAGTTGTATGGATAAGCTTTTTTCAAAAATAAACTTTGAAAAGCTTTTACACTTAATAAAATTCTTCTTATATGTACTTGTATAGTTAATTGAAAAACTATTTTCACCCTTTAGTTTTGATATTTTATCAACCCGTACCTAAGACAATGGGACCAGAGGGAAAATCACACAAATATAATAGAGAAATGCATTAAGATAGATTTCCAAAATTATACGGAAAAAAGCAACAACTAGTAAACGACCAAAAGAAAACTATGAAATGCGCAATGAATGTGTGGTAATGGTGATATATGTATTACTTTGGTGTGTTCATAAAATAAATGAATGAAAAACAAAAAAATATTTTTTGTTCGATTTGACCAAAAACAATTACTTTTCGTATTTTCTTTTTTTATTTTATTTTGGGAACATTTTTTGAAAAGCATAAAATGTATGAAGCGGAAAATTCGAAAGAACAGATAAACTTGAGCGGTTTAACTGAAAAGACCTTAAATAAAATACTAGCGGGAAAAAGCAACTAACTCTTCTATTAAAACAAATCTAGTAAATGTATTAGTTGTCTCGATAAAACATACATTCTAACGGATCAGTATTTTTCCTTTGCCTAGTTTGCGTTTAAATTTGCTGTTTTTTTTCTTCAGAGGAAAATGGTGAAATATATGAAAAACAAATAAGAATAAAAATAATCACTAAAATAATAAACAAACAAATAAATAAAAGAAAACAAATAAAAAAACGTATAAAATTAAAAGAAAATAAAGTGTATTATTTTTCCGCTAATTACATTTGAATTGAAAATATTGAAATGAAAAACGTTTCAGAGTTATACATAAATAAATTATTGAAATACAAAGAAAATATAAAAAAAACTTAAAAATAAATAAAATTTAAATACATGCTTTTGTAGGCGTTTTGAACTTGAGTTATAAATCTAATTGAATTTTATTCATATGAGTATGTTGTATTTAAGTTATCTGTTTTTGTACCTATGTATGTACTATATATTATAAGTAGTTTTCCCTACTAATATGAATATTGCCAATGCTAAGGGGTTGGTGGCATTTTCAGAATTAAAAATTTAAAGATTTTTAACACAACCCAGCAATTATGTTGACAGTCATTTTTACTAACGCCTAACCACCTGATTTGCTATAATCTATGGAGTGACGATTGCCTTTCTCCTATGACAAGAACTATATTATATATGGTAATGAACTAGTGGTAACTCTAAGTGGTAGGTTAAATAGATAATTCTGGACTGCCCTCAAACTGCTGGTAATCAAGTTGTGATATCGAATCATTCTGAATAGGATATGGCCCTTTATAGGGCCTTGATATAAATATGAACCGTATCCTCATATAATTTAATAGAAGGACTCATTCACAATACATATATTCATAAAATATATGTTAAAACTTCTTAAGAGAGTTTTAAAACTTAAATGCAATTTCGGAAGAGAACCTAATTTATCAACTAATTAAAATCTTCACATGGCTTTGAGCTCATATCAGGTTAGGTTGATAGGATGATGTATATTACATCAAATCCGAAGCTCAGTTTCCTGGACGTAATTCCTAAGAGTTTTCCGTTCTCCGGAATTATATCATTTTTAAGAAATTTGGTATCTAACATCGACGAATGGCTGACAATGGCAAAGAAAGCGCACCAGATTTTTACTGTCCTCTCCACATGCTCTACATTCGTCTGAATCCGCACGTCCAACTTTGTATAGCTGTGCCCGTAATCCTGTGTGTCCACTCAGAATACGTGCCATCATAATCTCAGACTTGCTCATTTTGAGGAGATTTCTACTCTTGCTCTCACTAAGGTCACCCCATAGGATGTTTGTGGTTCAACCCACCGTTTAAAGAGGACTTATAGAATTCTAGTCAGGTTAACGACCTCGAGCTTCCTCTCCTTTAAAGCTTACACATTCGCCCTTTCGTTGCCGACTACTACCAAGTGGCCTGGTAGCCATATGATGTAAACCAATTTAAGCATTCCGTTATTGCTCGGACTTCTGCCTGGAAGCTTGTGATTAAGTAAAAGGGTCTTCAATATAGAACACCAGGCCCATTTTGTCCGCCAAATTAGAGTCATTCGTGTAGCAACGGATTCCTAAGGGTATTTGCTCTAATGTCCCGCTTAATCAGTGATTCAAAGTTTCCCACATATTCTGTGTCTGGTATGCGATCGGACACGTCCGATGATTGCTTATAATCTTCCTATGTGTCCAATATACATTGATGACGTGTTTTATAACCGCTTTTGTCCAGTTCGGCAAAAATTATGAGCCGTACGGCTGTATTTTCCGCCTCATATCTTAAATATGTTTCAATGGGTGGAATATCTAGCAACGTTTCCAGAGCCTTTTTGACGTAGTACTCATGACACTACTTATACCCATGCAGCATGTACGCTGTAGTAAATTGATATTTGTCCAAAGAAGTCCAGATTATTGAAGCATAATCTAGAATTGGTCTTATTACACTTTTATAAAGCCAGTGTGTCATAGTAGGACTAAGATCCCATTTCTCCTTCATATCGCCCAGCACCGATGTGTCTTGTTGATCCTATCCGTTATGTGATGTCTCCATTTTAATTTCCGGTCAAGGATTACATCTATGTAAGTACTTACCTCTGTATGTCACCTTCTTGCTCAGGAAACAGGGTTTAGTCTGCTTAGAAATTTTTGTTTATCTTGTGAAGAAGGCAGATTTCCGTCTTCGCCGGGTTAACATTGAGGCCTCTCGGTTGAGCCCAGCTCAAGGCCAGCTCAAGCCTCCTTAGCTTTTCTACACAAGTAATTAGAATATGCAGACAGGTCTAAGTCCTTTCTGGGCTAGAGTCCTTAGGAGGCTATTAATCGTGGTAACTGAGAGTAAAGGGGACAAAATGCCACCCTGTATGGTAAAGCTTATTCATATGTTGCTTAACATGTAGTTGATCCAGTTACTGAGCACCCGGTCAACATAAAACTGGTCTATTTTCAATACCAGCTAAACATACAAAATATATGTGAAAAGTTTTATCACTTAGTACCTTCCGTTTTATCCCTATCAACAGAGAAGAACAGGACAGTCATGGACTTTGAAATTTTTAAATAATTTATAACAAATTTATAACTAAAAACATTGTAAACGGTAATATTTTGCAAACAAAATTGTGTATTTTATTTAAAAAATTTCCATACAACTTTTTTCAAAATTCCTTAAGATATTTAAATGATTAAGTATAAATAACCAGCACCAACCCCTTAATAGTTTTGCGTGCGTTAGGCAAGTTTAAACGATTAATTACAATTTAAATAAGCTTACAACAAGTGACCAAAACAAAATTCCATTGTTGCAGTAAAGCTAGCCAGTGAATGGTCTACAGAAAGATTGAGATTCGAAATCTTAAAAAAACACAAAATATTAAAAATAACTGAAAAATTCTAGTGATAAAAAAATAAATAAACAAAAATAATAAATACAAACCAAATAAAAATCATATTCCAACTAAAGAAAATAACCAAATGGAATGAAAATTGTAAAAAAATTTAACCACATTTGAGCAAAAATTTAAATTATCAAAATTTTCCCACCAACAATAACAACAATGACTAATATAATGTACGATACAACAGCGGCAATTAATAACAGTGAGTTCGATAATTCAACGTACATGTATGCTGAGGCTACTGAAAAAACTATTTATGAAACTGGTTATGATTTTGAACAGTCCATCTTTGGACCAAAACGTGATTCATTGAAAATTGTCATACCGGTGACCGTTATTTATGTGTTAATCTTTATAACGGGCGTTATAGGCAACATTAGCACGTGTATAGTGATAAAAAAGAATCGTTCCATGCATACAGCCACAAATTATTATCTCTTCAGTTTGGCCATTTCGGATTTTATGCTACTGTTATCGGGTGTACCGCAAGAAGTCTATATGACTTGGTATAAATATCCTTACCCCTTTGGTGAATACTTTTGTGTGGGTCGTGGTATAGTGGCGGAAACTTCTGCTAATGCTACCGTTTTAACCATAACTGCTTTTACTGTAGAACGTTATGTGGCCATATGTCACCCGTTTTTTGGTCAGGCCATTTCAAAATTAAGTCGTGCCATTCGTATAATCATAATAATTTGGTTACTCTCCATACTTACGGCCATACCGCAAGCTCTACAATTTAGAATTGTTTCTATACAGGGTGTGGAAAATTGTGTACTGGCTAATGTTATTATCAAGCATTCTTTTCAATTGTCCACCTATATATTCTTCTTTGCGCCCATGTCTATAATTTTCGTGTTGTATCTTTTAATCGGTGTACGTTTGTATCGTTCAAATGTTATTGACGGCAGTAGCAGTGGCGGTGGCGGTGGTCATAACAATTCAAATTCCAAGGATTTGCATCGTTTCCGCAATGATTTGCCTATTGGTTTGAATAGTTCAAATTCTCATGTACGTCGTGGCCGTTTGGGTATGAAAAGTACTCAAAGTGATACGATTTTATATCGTTATTCCGGCGGTACGCAAGTCAGTGCTGTGCGTGGACGTATTAATCAATTTGGCACGAAGCGAGTATTGAAAATGCTGGGTAAGTATGGTGTTTAATTACATTAATTGCATTTTATATATATTTCGCTTTTATTGTAAATTTAAATTAATAAGTAAGTTGTATGTAAGTAAAAAGTTTAATCGTTTAAAATCATTTGCCACACTTGTACTAAAGAATTAGTTAAATTATATCTCGCGTTAGGTTTCTTGATAACCTTTATCGCCTATCACTTCCTCTGTTCACACGGAATCATAATGAACTTCATTGTGTGATAGCAATCCGTGGGAAAAGAGGTGCTGCCGATACCTTTAGTCCGCTAGTACCATAAACTGTTGGTGTCAAATGTATCCTCGACCTTTCCTTGGAATGATTTGACCTGGAGTTGAACCAGAGAACCATATAATCAAGTAGCACGGGAACCTGTAGTCTGCAGGGAAGGGTTTCGCGCTTTGTCTTGTCCCGGTTTTTAAAGTGGTCCTTTCGGGGTGCACATGGTGGCTGTGGTTTCAACATAAACTCCTAGGAAGAAAATGTTGGCTAAAAGACTGAAACAAGGTGAAATCTATATAATCTATATAATCAAGGTTTACTCTGTTCATACCAGAAGAACATGTCTTTGGCTTATTTGGATGGATTTGTATTTCGGTTGCCGAATCAATAGAGGTTATCCCATCTGCGTTGTTGTAAACGGAAGTGATGTTTTTGCATCTTGAAATTTAGGCAACGCGGTAGCAATGGTTAAGAGATTAGTTAGCTCAAATACTTGGGCAAATTGCTTGTACATAGACCGGTTGGTTTTATAGTAGAACTCTTAAACTTCTTCCCATTGCAGTTGAATCTCGGTAAATATTCTCTGAAGTGGTTAGTTTATTTCGCTTATGATAGAGTGAACATAATCGCAGGATAAAAAAATAGTGAATTTATTATTCAAGTCGAAATATTCGAGAAATGTTTCTCTTGTAAAGAGCTAAAATCCATTTAAAGGATTACAAAACAGAGACGCTTCTTGGACTTCTTTGGTGTACATGATCCATTTAGACAATCCTAAAACAACTTCCCTGCAAACATTTTTGGAGTACATGATCCGTTTAGTAGTTCTGTGCAATGTATACATTCCAATTCAGTTTTAAAGACATAACAATAATTTTATAAAATTTAATGAAAGATTTACGAGAAAATAGTTTTTTTCAGAAAAATATTTTTCATATTTCAAATTGATTTCTTATTTATTTTTGAAATTTCTAAACAACTCATGAAAATTGTCAATATGATAACTTTACAAACATTTTAATAAAAATAATTGTTAATAATTTACTTCCCCATTAACAATTCTATATAATTACTTATTAAAATTTGTAATTTTTTTCTGTGTATACATGGATCATTTTCATTTTTGAACAAAATAGGCATTAGATAGGACCATGAAATAGATTTGAGATTAGTCTGATTAGTCATAGTCCTTTACAAAGTACTCTCTATATATGTATGTGTGAGGAGTAGTCCTAATTTTTGTGGGTGTATAGTGTTGGATCAATGGTAACTTAACATCGCTAAGACTTATTTCGATAGAAGTCGAATCTTTTCAAACGTTCTCTGCAGTGGTTGAAATATTACGCCAATAAAGTGAAAAGCTTTAAAATATTCTCTTTTGAAGATATTCAAATCGCTTAAGTTCATTGTCCTCTGTAAAGTGGGAGTTCCGGAAATTAGAACACTTTGGGTATATAAAATATTAAAAACTATAATAACGAATCGTAATTAGTACTAATAAAGATGCACATATGTCCATATAATGAGACCAACTTCCAACTTTCACATTAGATGAATCATTAATTAATTATTTTCAAAGAAATAAGATATGTACAAAAATTAGTGTTCAACATTACGTTTTAGTATTCCAATTCCAAACGATTTGTTTGCTGAATTAATCTGACTTTACTTAATTTACATATTAATGATTAATACATATTTCTTCGAAGAACATTTTCTAAAATCTTAAATAAATTATCAATATTGTTTTGATTTTGTTTAGTACAAAGTTTAATGTTCCCGTACTATAAATCATTATCAATATATTACTAAACTGAAAATAAGATTTAATAGATATGAAATATCAAAACAAAAAAACACGTGTTATCGTTTTATTTACTAAAGTTTTTCCATAAAAGGCATATAAATAATAAAATAGACTTAGTTTACTATATATCTATGTAAAATTAAATATGTAGTACATACAGTTTAATAAAGCTAAAACGAATTAATGTTCATTGTATGGATTGTGACATGTTCTATAATAATCGCTGAACCGTATACAAGTTATTGTGTGATCTGTAATAGCCTTGCGGAAAATATTAAACGAAATAGACCTCTTACTAATGACTAATAAAGGTGTCTCATAATTGGTCTGTTGTTTGGGTGACATGACAGAAAACAATTTTACCCCATGCATGGGGTAATTGGCATTAGTCAATCAAAATAAATCTTGGGAATTTAATTTCGAAAAACTCTAGTATATGATCAAATGAAGTGATACGAAAATTTAAACAAAAAAATGAAAAGAAGTGAACTGGGCCCTGGGAATTGAAATAAAGTTATAGTAATCGCCATAGAATTCCTTCGTTAGGTTAGTTTTTAGTGTTGTAGTTTGTCAGTCTGGTAAAGAAGCGCTCAAGAGAACCTATAGTGGACTAGGAGTATATCTTTGGATCTGATGTAGCATACATCCTCCTTTCAAACTAACTACATAGATCTAATCTATCTCTATAATATGGTAATATTATATAAAATGTGAGTAATCAGTAGTGGCGTGTCATAATGTCCATGAACGTTATGACAATTTCAAAAGTGTCACAATGTCTATGAGCATAATTTCATGGATTTCAAAGAGTCCATTTATCATAAAAGGCTTAATTTAGCGAAGCCGGTATTCAAAATACCGGCTATTCAGGATACTTTTTAAAAGGAATCCAAAATGCAACATGCACCAAATTTGGGAGCAATTCTTTTCAGGATAAGGGTGTCCATTTCGTGAATTCTAAAAAACCTTTCTTGGAAGGAGACTAAATTAGTAGGTGATTCCTTTTATCCTATTCTCGCACAAACAATGGCTAATCTACAGCTAAGGAACTAGTCAATTCCTTTAGCATAACTAAAGAAGGTTTCTGATCATATATAGAGTCTTTCATTAATAATTTCATTGCACTAACGAAAGCAAGATTGATGGTTTCAGGGACTTAACCTGAAACTCCTGAGTTTCAATTAATCGTGACTGCTCCTTTATGGGTCGAGTGTTTTAGTTGCTGTCAATGATTTTAAAGTTGAGGAAATTTCATGAAACCACACTTATCACCACTAGTATTTTGGTCTTAATACTACCTGCTGATGAACATACATATGTATAAGAAGAGGCATCGATTTAGTGATCCTGATCTGTCCAGTGCTAACATATGTCAGGAGACTGATATTCAGTACTTTAGTTGGGAGGGTGTATTGGGTTTATGCTGATGTTTGTAACGCACAAAAGTATTGGTTCTATACCAACCTTAAATTATACCGATCGGGTTAAAATCATTTTCTGAGTCGTTTAAGCTATGTCTCTCCATCCATCTGGCATGGCTGTCCATGTAAACCTTGTGCTCAATTTACAGCTCGCAATTTTTAGGATAACTTGATGAAAAATGGCCCTATTGAAAATGGTTGAAGTCGGTCCATTATTTCAAAATAACAACTATGATAAATATACTAGTATCTCTACCAAAATCGGCGGAACTAAATCTAATATCGCCTGTAAAATTCTTTTGGAATGGTCAGGTTTCATTTGAACCTAGCCCCCAAGAAAGTCCCCTTATAAACGCTAATATTTCAATGAAATTTGGCATAACTTTATTTTATATAAAAATAAATGCTCCACCAAATTCTATTTGGATCGGCTCATATTTGACCCTATTTCAGAATCGAAGCAGTCATTTCGAAAAAGGTATGAGTCCGTCTATGCAAACTTTTCAGGAGGAACAAAAATATAAAGAAATATTATGGTCCTAAAAAATTTAAACATAGAAGTTGATAAATAAAAACACGAGAAATATTTGTAATATTTATTTTTACTGATATTTCGGAATAAAAATTTTTGGTGTTATAAAAACTCGTGCCCCTTTCGAAATGATCGCATATTTTTGTAGATTAGTGCCTAATGGCTCTGTAAACCAACTAACAGTTATTTTAATAACATATAAAAATATTAGTAATTAAATAGTTTTATTAATCACACACTAAATGTCTTCAACTTTAATCAGACATTACTTGCATTGAATTTTCACACATGATAATTAAAACCAATTTCAAGGTTAACTATTATTCGGACAATTTCATTTTAATTAAATTCTACTGTAGTAATTTCCCAACAAATTTATCCATATTTAGTTTTATATTCCAAAATAAATGTTGTTATTTTTAGTGTAAAACATATGTAAATAGTGACTGTTAATAAATTCGTTTTTCTTTTGGTTATATTTTCGATTACGTAATAAATACTTAACATATGTCATTACAAGTCATACAAGTTTTATTAATATTATCACGCTTATCAATTCAGAATCCTTTTTATTATCATTCAACATCATTATCATTGTCATTAATAGCAACATGCTCTTTATTATTTTGACTATAATTATCATTAATATTTATTTTTATACATTGTATTTAAGTACTAAGTATTTGGCTAAACAACAATTTGTATTTACTTTTAATATCAGTATAATACAAATTAAACCCTCTCGATTAATTATCAAAATAAAAATGAAAAAGCAAATAAATAAATAAATAAATAGCAACAAAAAGGCATTAAATTAGTCTGTAGCATACGCTAATTTTGGTAAAATATCTTAAACACGAGTGTACAATTATTTACAAAATAATTGCAATAAAATACATAAATTTCCAATAGAATATTAGAAAAATAAATATTTCTTCTTCTTTTTGTTTTTGTAAACGTTTTCTTGTAAACGATTGCATGCTGCGCTTTACTGCCACACATTAGTAAAGTGTAATTAATTGTTTTTTGGCCAAAGTTCTTAAAGCTCTGACATTTAACATGTCTAACAATAAATTGGCCAAATAGGTACACAATTTAATTAATAGTTTTGATAGTTTTACTTATTTCTTTATAAGCAATTATAAAATAAACTACTTCCCAAAAAGTTTTATAAAGAATTTAATGCGGTTTAAGGTGTAGTTTTGTGATACAAAAGGTTTTTTCTGAGATCAGACAGGTGCAAATGCTCGAACTATGTGTGAGCAGATTGTAAGTTTTAAAAGAACGAGTCCAATGACTTGTGAAAAGAGATCGTGTCAATCAAACTCTGAAAATCAAAACAAATAAAAGTTTATAGTCGGGCAAGGCCGACCATATGATACCCTACACCAGTGATTATGTTACAAATTTTTATTACATTATAATAATAAAGCATTTAATTTAATTTTTACCTTAATTTAAAAATATTTTAACATTTTATTGAAAGGGATTTTCTAAAAAAGGGTCTACATTAAAGTTATATATGCGGAATATCATCGTTATATTAGTGATTATAAGTGAATTTTGACTATCAAGTCATTTCCTGAAGGGGCTTTATTTGCAGTATCATTAAGACTTATATAAAACTAAGTTTTGCCGAAAGAACATTTAAAATATTTATGAGCTCAAAAGCCTTATTCGGGGGGTACGGCTGTATGGGGGCTATGCGAAATAATGGACTGATTTTAACAATTTTCAATAGGCTTCGACCTTGGGTCAAAAAAGAACAGGTGCCAAATTTCATCAAATGAAAATTGCGACTTGTAGCAGCGCACAAAGTTTACATGGACACACAGACGCGGACAGCACATAGACAGACAGAAAAACAGATGGACGAACAGAAAGATATAGCTAAAGTGATTCTGAGCCGATTGGTACACTTTAAGATGGGTGTAGAACCAATATTTTTGGATGTTACAAACATCCGTACAAATGCATAATACCCTCCCCACTGTAGTGATAAAGAGTATTTCTGTTCGACATACGAATTGCATGGCTAAAAACGAAATTTTCACTGACCAATCGATCACAATACTATGAAGTCTATTCCCTAACTTTACCGGAATATATTCCATCATAGTAACGATAGGATATCCACATGTTGAGTTTTTTTTGGACTCACTACCGCCCCTTTGTATTTCTTACACGCCGAAGTCAATTTTTGTTCATAGTTCTGCGGGTCCATGTTCAAACACTTTGTTCAAGTACTCGAGCTATCTAAACTCTGATCATTGCTGTCCCATTTCTTAACTTCTGAGATGCAAACACATGGCTTCAACTGCACGTAATCGGTAGACCGAAACACGAATCCATCAAATTATCCAAGGGCTTATTATTACTCATAGAGAGCATACTGGTAAATCTGCTATGAACAGAGTAAACCCTGAACATGCGCAGACAAGGAAGGAAAATTCAATGGTATCACTTGTATAAGATGTATAAGATAAATTCATCGCCATTCAAACCAGCACACTTCTCGTTCCGACACACTCGTTTAGAAAAACATCCGACACATTCAGTCCAGGTATACCGATAGGTAAGGCCCGCATGCCTCTACAACCATTATCTTGACACTAACTTATTTCAAGAGCTTAGTCCCTCTGTCACTCCTCTGTGGGGTATCTGCTGACTCGGCAACAGCATAGAACTTATCCAGAATTGTAGAATTTATAGTGCATCAGTCTTTTAACTAACATTATTTTTCCGAGAATTTGGGTTTAAACCATAACCACCCAACAATCAATAATCATGACTCGATTATGTGGTTCTCTGGTTCGACCCCATGACAAATCATTCCATGGAAGGGCCAAGGATACATAGTCCCGGCAGACTAGAGGTACTAGTAGCACTCCTTTTAATAGGAATTACAATAACTTCAAGATTGGGAAAGAATCGTTAAGGTAACGTGATCCCGGGGGAAATATCGATAGAACAGTAAACACATCCTATATTAAGACAGTTCTCCAGCATATAAATAGCATTGGCTACTCACCGATATGCGATATTTTGTCGGGAAATTTCGGGAATTCCATTTCATAATTTTGAAATGGAATTCCCGAATGAATAGAGATCTTTACCAGAACTAGATTTTTGACTGTCTCAAATCACCAAGATTATTTGGTGATTTGTGAAAGGCCAATATATAACAAAGAACTTTGTCTAAGTAGTCCTAATCTTTGCCTGACCTCTATTCACTGATTCCTAATCCGAAATATGGTAGGTACATTGGAGCTTTTAGTGTTCCTCTCTGAAACCTAAGAACGTTAGATTTTGCGTGTCCAACCATCTAGATTTCTGTTGTAGAGCTTATTGCATATCTCTTTCAATCACTTCTCATTTTTAAGCCTTTTATTAAGGCAGAGTTTTATCGAAATCTATTCAGTAACTTTATTGGCTCTCATGCCAATGTCCTACATTTCTAACGTCATCTGAGTTTGAGTCAAGGTCATATATTCAGCGATATTCTAGTGAATCCATTCTCCTCGCGGTTGTGTCTGTGATTATTTTACATTATTTAACTTTCGTTACGTCGACCAATTTTGTATTCATCAAGTTAACTTCCTCAAGGCCCCTTACGTTTATAGCAAGTGTATTCACTCACTGGGTACCAATAACTATGATGCAAAAATTACCACTGGACGAGAAATAATTAGGTAAAGGCTTTCCTACAGTCCAATATGGTTTTAGATTTAACCTCATTAGCCAATATCGCCCTACTTGCCTTCAGTCTGTAGAAAACTATGTTGACATCGGGTGACCCATATTCAATCCAATCCATTTTAGAAATTTTGATAGAATCTTGTGTTCCGTTTTGTCTACAGTTTAATGCAATTCCTAAAACAGGGATTTGCTCTAATGTTCCGCTTGACGATAACTCCTTTCATAATCGCTATATAAGGTTTTTCCTACCAATATTTAGCATATTTCGGATTTGAAGTAACATACTTACATTCTTCTTTTAACCTAACCTATTTATAATGTGTTGCTATTCCGCGAAGTTAACGACATTAACATTCAACCACTAGAGACATTACCCAGAAAACACCTCTTAGTGGCAAAATGATTTGACTAATTCTAAGTATTTTAAGTTATAAAATATATATGTATGTATGTAATAATAAATGCATTTGTGCTGTAAATACATACATACAATTAATTTGCAATATTTTCATCATTTTATTAATAATTTCTCTACAATTTTTCGTTCAACTAGTGGCCGTAGTCATCTGTTTCTTCTTGTGTTGGGCACCATTTCATGCACAGCGTCTTATAGCAGTCTACGGTAGTAGTGGATTAATTGCTGGTGGAGAAGAAAGTACTGGCACGAGTGTGGATGATGATGGTGACTCTGCAATTTATGATTTTTCTCTGACAACTGAACAAATATTTGCAGCAACAGAAACTACAATTGCAGCAACTGATCTAAATCATCTTCATCGTAATTCTTCCAACAATAATAAACAACGTGAACAGCATACAAAAGTCTATACAGTAATGACGTACATATCAGGTGTTTTATATTATTTATCCACCTGTATTAACCCATTACTATACAATCTCATGAGTAATAAATTTCGTCAGGCTTTTAAGGTGAGTTCTAAAGTGAGAAAGAGCTCACTGTAAATAGTATGTCTGTTTTATGCAATTTTAATTTAGCATTTAATATTGTGTCCTTCCAGTCCATACTCTTTGGTAAGAAATCCTCAAATGCACGTAGATCACAAAACTCCCAACGTAGCATGAGTCGTAAGCCCACCACGAATTCATCATCCATACATCGGGGTTCCAGTGAATCGGAAATGCAATCAAAGGTCTCTTTATTACAGGTATTTGCACATATTAGGATTATTTTCAATTTAAAATATTAATGTATTTCATTTTCTTCATTGCAGACTATTTCAAATGAACGAAAATTTACTCCTCAAATGATTCCATAAGTTTTTATTTGTTTATAAGCTGATTTTTTATATGTATTTAAAAGAGAATATTTATATGTTCTTGTAATAGTTTTTAAATATTTAATTTAAGTTTATTAAGTCTAAGATATATTTAATTTTATTATGTCACATATAATTTATTTACATAGAAAGTTATAGACTCTGTATCTGATTTTTACTAAACATTAAGGATTTGTTCATAGTGTGTTGTCATCAAGTGGTACAAATTAGCTATGATTCGTACTAGAAAACGAAAATCATATTTGAATTATTAATAAGTATATTGCATTCTTATTGTTAAATATTTTTATATTATTTATGGCTAACAAATTTTTAACCCAGAGTCCTAAATACAATTTCCTAAAAGATTGAGCACCGCATAATCCGAATCTGGTCTCTCTATCACATCTAGTTTTTGTAATATCGTGCCCTAAAAATTGAAAAATTCAGGTTGTTGGCTATATTTGAGTCGTTTTAACGGCACCTTTATTGATAATATCTGATATGTAATCTAAAAGTTCTGTCTATCGACTTAAAAATAAAGGTTTAACATCTGTTCTACCTTCATCCCTTTTCGATATATCTTAACCTATGGTTTGGAACAACCACAAAATTAAATAATCTAATTTTTAACTTCATTTCGCTTTTATTATATGAAAAAATCTCTGGTATTTGCAGAGATATCGTCCGAAGAAGTTTTTGCCATTAAGCAAAGGGAATATCGAATATTTTGGAAAGTTGTTTTAGTTAAGATATGTATCTCGAAGAATAATGAAGATATGACAGAGATTGAACTTTTATTTTAATGTAAACAGATTGAGCTTTCAGACGACATAACTGATTTTATAAATAAAGATGTCTTCCCGCTTTTAGGTATCAACTATGGCCCAAAACTGGGGGTTTTCAGTTTTTAGGATACGATATCTCAAGAACCTAATGCAATGGATGATTTAGCGATGCAAATTGGTCTCTGGGTTTCAACTTATTTCAAATATTGTTTTTTTTTCTTAATTTTGTTGACCTGTGTTATCGGACCTTAAAAATAAATCTTCATTATTAAGTTTAAGATTGAGAAAATAGCCCCGATGTGAATCATTTTCAATAGGCTTCGTCTCCGGTACCATAGAATATCATGTGTCAAATTTCATTGAATTATCTTCAAAATTGCGACCTGTAGTTTGATTACAAGGTTTACATGGACGGACGGACATACGTAAATCGACTCAGAAAATGTTTCTAAGTCGATCAAACCCAATATACCCTTCCCAATAAAGTGGTGTAGAGTATAATTATGCTTAGTGGCTTCTACACCCGCCAAAATAAATCCATTTAGTGATGTGTATGCATGTGGAATTTGTAATTAATCTGCAGGTCGTAGTTTTCAAGATAATTTGATGAAATATGTTACAAACATAAGCTCCTTTCGACCCTCTATTGAAAATTATTGAAATCGGTTAATTTCACCATACAAGCATACTCCACAAATAATTCCTTGGAACTAATAAATATGTTAAATGTTTAATATAATAACTAGCTATAACCTTCCAAGATTTGTAAGAGGTGTTTCCGCCCTTCTTTGGTGGACCGCCAATTTTTGTTTTAAATATTTATTTGATACAATTGTATCAGGTACAAAATTTTAAGATTCCAGCTTATACAATTTTACGGATATTAAAATGTTTGTATTTTCTTTATATGAAAGATGCCACGCCCACTAATTTTGGAACATCCATTTTCAGTGCAAACAATAATAAAACCAACAAACGTAGTCGTTCAAAGATTTCAGATTCCAACTAACATAGATTCCCAGATTTTCAAATTTTAGTATTTACTTTATTTGGGAAGTGCGACACCCACTATTAATTTGAGGACTCTTGATATTTTACATACATATTATTTTTGTTTATATTAATTTCATGTGGGGCCGTGGTATCTCGCCCATTGGAAATTTTAAAACAAAAAGTCACCTGTTGTTTCTTCCATACATTGAAATTTTCAGTGTTTTAGTCTCCTCCAAAAACATACATAATTTTTTTTTATTAGATTATAATTTTATATATTAAATACAATGACGGAGATCAGGAAGAGATCTAATAAGGAGTTAGAAAATACATATATGTTTTATAACCAATTTTTTATGTATTTCAAACTGTATCAATCCTTTTTAATAGTGAGAGATTTCAGATTTGAATGATCAGTATTATGTATTAGTGTCCAAAAAATCTGACTCCAAATACAACAATCGATCCATAATTGATTATAGCTCCCATATTATAAGTCATTCTTTATAAAATCATTTACCAAAAAAAACTACAAAGATCTAAGTATACTTTTCGAAAAACATTAGGTTTTTGAGATATCGGTTTTTGGCCGAGTAGCTCAGTCCTTTACAAAATAATAATTTGGTCTAAGTGCTGTATTTTTCTCGAATTGGGAAAAAATATAAAAGTTTTCCAGTTTTTAACAGGTTTATTCAGTTTATATTTAAATTGTACGCATTAACATTATACAAGATGATCACATTTTTCGAAAAATTTTCTCGATGTAAAAAATACAGAAACAGGGTACTGGGCTCAAAACTTGTTAGTCTGTGTAATGAATATTTCTACCAAATTGTATGTAATTCCTCCCATAATACATACCCAGCAAAAATAAAGCAAAGTACTTCCAAAAAATAACATTTATCACCACTTCAAAAGTAGCAATTAGTGAATATTTTTACCTTCTGTGGAAGTGATGTTTAATGACTTCCGAAGAAGCGAAATTAAATCTATGTTTTCAATGCTAAAGATATTTTTTTGTTCTTACATTTTTGTGAGATAAAAAATTTTATTTTTTTAAATGTATCTATTACCCTTATTAATGTTAATATTATTTTAAGTCAAATTAGTTGTATTCTCTAATAATACATTTTCACTTACGAATAACTTCTAAGAAAGAGCATAAAAATTACTTCTTGAGAATGACTTCAGAAGTAGTGAATTTGAATAACATAAAAATTACATCCTCCTATGACAAGCCTGTGTTAAAATCATCACTTCTTCAGGTCTTTTTCAGTACTTCCAGAGTAAATCCTACTTCTTTTTCGCTTCTTTGAAAGTTCTTTTTTTTTGGGATATCGCACACTCGAATGCACGTAAACCTCGTATTAATATGGGTATTGTCATCATATTCGTAACTTTCGACTCATATGGTTAGCCATGACCGATTTTCTACCAATATAAGTTCTGATAAACTAATCTATATCTAATACTGAAGAACTGATTCCTAAAAAAATGTTTGAAATACTTAGAATCACAACAGTCTTACATATTTACAGAATCTGAAAAAGACCTTTGTAGAACTAATTATAAATTTTCTTAAAAAAATATATAATTAAAAAAGTTTTGTAGTACATTATTTTGTATTTATTAACAAATTAATTTAAAATCAACTAATAGTTTTAAGAAAATATTTTTTATTATTCCTTTAAGGGTTTTTTTTTTAATTAATAAACTATAGTGCCTAATTAATTATTAAATAATAATACGTGTAAATATTTTTTTTATAATTAAAATATATTCCACACCCTTTCAGTCTTTTTAAATAATTAATATTATTATTTATACATAAATCATATTGAAATATACATACATATAATAATAATTTGCCTTAATTATTTTTAGGTCGGGCAGAACAAAGTAAGATAGAATTAAAAACAAATCGGACTTAAATTTAATATCTAATTTGGTAAATCCTTATTTTTCCCAAAAAAAAACGCACTATAAATTTGTATCTAGACAAAATATTTCTTAAACATCTTGCATTAGTCCTTAAAAAGAGGAAAAAGTATACATTTTCAAAGCACCATACGTTTCTAGGAAAAATTTGGAATGACTTGTACTTTAATACCAACTTACTTTTCAATGACTACTATTTACTGACTGTATTACTTTTAAGTATTCTTATAATGACTTACATATAATTAGATATGTAATTATTCACATTATATTCACAGTTTTATTTACACGGTTGCACACTGCTGCCCATTTTATACTTTTGGGAAATTCGGACGTTTAAGGGGCAAAAATCGTATCTATTATTGGTGCTATTTTAATAAAACGTTGTTTTCTATTAATTGGTTCATACATATGCATATTTATTCAGCTTTTACTACGATATTACATTTTTACAATAAATTTTGTATGATTCACCAAAGGGAAAAGTACCCAATTTGGTACTTTTTTTAAAACGTATTTTTTTTAGCAAATCTAAGCCGATTTGTATCGTCTGAGCTTTTCTGTGAAGTGCAACTTTAAACACTGAGTAATGGGAAAATATAAATATATAAAAGGGATATTTAATTTTTAATAAGTATTTTTCACAAAAGAAGAATTTGTTGAAGAATTTATAGAAACAACAATTTTAACATACATACAGGGATCGAATGAGATTATATATGAGAGTACTATTTGGCACTATTTATTATTTAACTAGTACTTTTTGAATTTTCTGTAATATGGAACAAGAAAGTTGCAGGATCCTGGATGAATGATAATTTGTATGGGGGTTCATTTTAGTACTTTTTTGTTCTTAAACTGATACTTTTTGAATATTCTGGGAATATTCAAGGCTTGTATAAAACTTAGTTGTGCGAACTTTCATCGAGATACATTTATATTATACATAATTATGAGCTCAAAAGCCCTTTTTGGGGGGTTCAGTTGTATGGGGGCTAGGGGGAATAATGGACCGATTTCGTCCAAATTTCATCAAATTATCTAGAAAACTGCGACCTGTACTTTGATAACAACGTTTACATGGGCACATGGACAAATGGACTCAGAAAGTGATTATTTAGCTATGTCCGCCCGTATTATATATACAATTAAATGCTTTATTATTTAAAAACAAATAATCAAAAATGATTTATTTTTCATAAAGAAACTTTTGTGTTGAATTTTACATTAATTCCGATACGATTTATTGATGAAAAACTAATTTTCTAGAGGAGCTTTATATGGGAGTTCATAGGGTCAAACATGAGCCGATGGTCATAAAATTTGAAGGAGGGATATATTATACAAAAGTTAGTTATGCTGCAATGGTTATCAGTCAGTTATGGAAGTTTAAGACATTTTTGAAAGGGGGGTTAGGGTCAAATAAGGACCGATCATTAAAAAAATCAGCAAAACTTAGTTATACCGATTTTTGGAGAGATAGTAGTATATTAGGCGTAGTTATGACCTAAAAAGCCCAAATCAGAAGGTCCGGTTGTAAGGGGGCTATAATGGATCGATTTCAACCATTTTCAACAGGATTCGTCTCTGTGCTGAAAAACACGTTTGATCCAAAATTTATCAAAATATCTCAGAAAGTGATTCTGAGTCGATCGGTATACTTTAAGGACCAACAACTAAAGTGGTGTAGGGTTTAAACAAACAAAATAAACTATCTTAATACAAGAAATACAATAGATAATAGCAGAAGCAGTAGTATTTATTTAAGAATTCCATTTATTAAATTGAATATTTTGTTTATGTAAATCCTCAAGATTTATTATACTGACTCTCATTTTCACTGGTTTCTTTTGTTTTTACTTTTTTCCATTCCTCATAAATACCACTAGTCATTTTTAATAATTTTGCACAGTTTTTGTCCAGGTAAATGCAACAGAAGAAAAATTCATTCATCTTTTATGGAAACTTATATATTTTAATACTTTTGTGTCATTTATTTAAATTTACTTTTCTATGATTATTATTTTGTTGTTTTTTGTTCATTCTTTGTTTTTTTTGCATTCATAACAAGTTTAAAGGTACCGTTAAAACAATTTGCAAATTGCATAAAAGATAAGATCATTTTGCATGACATATAAATATAGCACATACTTGCATAAATACTGTTAAAAAAGATGTAATTATAATTTACTTTCAGCTCCATTTATTTTACATATTTTCACACTAATTTACTGATATAAAAATACAAACATATGAGGACTTTGGATACAAAAGTAGCCATCTCCATTTTCATGACTTTACCTAAAAAATTTTAAATGAATTTGCCAGCAAACTTTTGTTTTTCAAACTTATTTTAAATCTTATTCTAGTTCCATTATACTAAGTAAATAGGAAAACTTAAATGTAAATATATTATTAAATTTGAAAAATAAAAAAATGGATATAGCCGCCTTTGCTTCTATAACCCTCATATTATATGCACGTT